TAACAGGAATTGACCTCTGATGCATTTAGATGTAAAATCTGCATTTCTGAACGGTCCATTAGAAGAAGAAGTTTATGTGTCACAACCTCCTGGATTTGTGAAAAAGAATCAGGAAGGGATGGTGTACAAATTATACAAAGCTCTATATGGACTGAAACAAGCGCCCAGAGCTTGGAATCAGAAGATTGATTCATTTTTCAAGAAGCAAGTCTTTCAGAAATGTGAGATGGAGTACGGTGTCTATGTTCAGCATACTTCTGAAGGCAATATGACTCTGGTATGTTTATATGTTGATGATATACTATTGACTGGAAGTTCTGAACAAGAGATAGCCAAGTTCAAGAAAGTTTTGATGAATGAATTTGAAATGACTGATCTAGGCAAAGTGACATACTTTCTAGGGATGGAGTTTAGATATTCTGATAAAGGTATCATTTTGCATCAGCTCAAGTATGAATTAGAACTTCTGAAGAGATTTGAACTGAAGAATTGTAAGATTGTTGTCACACCTTCTGATATAAATCAGAAACTGGATTCTGACTCTGATGAAAAGGATGTGGACGCTACAACCTTCAAACAGTTGGTTGGTTCTCTGAGGTATCTGTGCAATACCAGACCTGATATTTGCTATTCTGTTGGGATGGTTAGTAGGTTCATGAGTAAACCTAAGTGGTCCCATTACCAAGCTGCTGTCAGGATTCTGAGGTATATCAAGGGAACTCTGAAGTATGGAGTGTTGTTTCCTTCTGGAAGAAAGGATGAGTCAAAACTTCTGAGTTATTCAGATTCTGATTGGTGTGGAGACAGAGTTGACAGAAGAAGTACCTCTGGGTACTTGTTCAAATTTCTGGAAGGTCCCATTTCTTGGTGTTCTAAGAAGAAACCTGTTATGGCGTTATCAACCTGTGAAGCTGAATACATTGCAGGTGCTGTTACTGCATGCCAAGCTGTGTGGATTCTGAATCTGTTGCAGGATCTGAAGATTAAAATAAACAAACCTCTGAAGTTGATGATTGACAACAAGTCTGCAATCAATCTTGCCAGAAACCCAGTGTTGCATGGGAGAAGCAAGCATATTGAGACCAAGTATCATTTTCTGAGACATCAAGTTCAGAGTGGAGTGTTAGAAGTTGTACACTGCAGCACTCAGAAACAGTTGACAGATGTTCTAACGAAAGCTATCAAGACTGATCAATTTCTCAGACTAAGGGATGGAATTGGTGTTACAAGTTTTGATGGAATATGAATTAAGGGATGGTATTAGAAGTAATTCATATTTAGTTGTACTATTTTCTTAGCCCCTAAGTCTGTTAGAGGGTATTTTAGTATTTTTATCTTATTCTAGTAACCCTAGTTTTACCTTATAAATAGGGTAGCAATCATTCTAATTTTGTAGTAGTGTGTGTAGCTTTCATTCTCTTAATAGAATATTTCTCTATTCATCATTCATTCTACATTTGCACCAACGGTTACTGAGTCACGTCATACACCATCTCTAGTATAATTTACTCATATATTTTCTAAATCACTCAAATACTTTCTTTATTTTTATGCAATTGTTTTATAATTTCACCAAACAATCCTCAACCTCCAAGTACTTTTTGTTTAATTGAATTGAATTCAGAACTCTAAATCGTCAACTAGTCCTTGAGATTGACATTCGGAGAAATTCTCTTTATTACTACATTGGTAAAATAGTACACATGCTATTTTTCCGATCAATCGATATCCCTTAATTTTTTTATATGGAGCAATATATTATGTTTAATGACTATTATGTTTCTTTAAAGTGCTGACATTAAAGGCATTTGTTTAAGATGTCTAGTAACAATTAATAGTGTTAGGTGCATGTTAAATATGCAGAAGAAGTTATCCGACACTAGTTTTATTTCCAGCAGAAAAAAAAGAAACCTCTTCTTCATAGAGGAGATGTCGCTGTAATTGATGTTATGAAGTTTATAACAGAGCATAACATGCTCTGAGTTATATAAATTCTTGAAATTCAATCTATGTTGTTATAAAACTGTCAAAATTAGAAATATATTAATCATACATTAAGGATAGTTTCCTTTTGAGTTAGAAAAAACATACTAGTAAGTCCTTCTCTGCAACATACAGGAAAAAATATTATGAGTGGCCATAAGTTATGCACTAATTTTAACCTGCCTATCTCATTTGATATCCAAGTGAATGATCTACAAAAAGTGTGGTGTATATATGCACTCTTGATAGAGAGACATCAAAAGGAGATATCATGTGATCTCTCATCTCATCTCATGGACCCCATCATTTAACAACCACTTCTCAACAAAATAGATTTTAAGAAACTCTTGAAGACTATAAATGCAATATCTTCCTCCAAAACAATCAAACATCAAAAGTTATATACATTTTTCTTATATTTCAAAGCCTTACTTGTTCTTTGAAACATTTGAAATGGGCTTTCATTTACCTGCAGTTATCTTGCTGTGTATGTTGGAGAGGAAATGAAGCGATTTCTGATCCCCATGTCATACTTGAACCAAACTTCATTTCAAGACTTGTTAAGTCAAGTAGAGGAAGAATTCGGGTATGATCATCCAATGGGTGGCCTAACAATTCCTTGCACAGAAGATGTTTTCTTGCATATTACTTCTCATTTCAATGGACTATAAACCTACAAGTGCAAGAGATTGATATAGACTAGTGTTGAAATTTTTGTAAATAGGTATATTTGAAACTTGTAAATATTTTCCTTATTCCGTTATTGGGAATGGATGGATGAAATTTGTTCATCTGAATGATAATGACGACATACACATACACTGTAACAGATTATTTACCTCTATTAATTTCGTCTAATTATAACAACTCTATTGGTTCCTCTCTGTTTCTATTTTTGAATTACTATACTAGTGATTTCTTGAGAAAAAGATGCTACCTTGATCCTAAAGTTATGACGAAAGATTGATACAACAGTTTAACATTTTAGCATTTGACAAATCCAAGTTACTGCTTTAGCGTCTAATTTAAGAGATATTCATCACCTTCCTTGTACATCTTATATGAGCATGCAGTTTGGTAGCCTAGAAGGATCTTAGGTTCAGTTTTATCTTCAAGCTTTGTTCTCATACTAAAATCATAGTAAACCACAACAAGCTTGCCCTTGATCTCTCATAGATATATGAGAAACAAATGATTTCTTAGGTTGCTTGCCTAACAAGCAATTCTTACAAACATATGCAAGAAGCTTAATTTTGGACAAGTCATTTACTATATCACTTGACTTCACAGCTCTGAAACTCTTAAAGTTAAGGTGACAAAACCATTTTTGACCACTAATCACTCAATGCAAAGCAACAAAAGTTTGTTGCAGTGATTTGGAGTTGCAGTGTTATATAATGAGATAGAAAAGCTCTCCCAATTGTCTTGTGATTTGCATCAAAGACCTCTATCTATGTCTGGATTATAAATCTCATATTATCGTGCAGTTTGGTAGCCTACAAGGTTCTTAGGTTCAATTTTTTCTTCAAGCTTTGTTCTTATTTGATTTAGAGTGTGTCTAAATTACATTAATCCAAAGATCTTAAAGAGTCTAGCAAATGGTGTCTTATTTGACCATATTCTTTTAGGCACATTCTTTAGTCTCTTAGTGGGATTTGATTTAACACATAGCATAAAGCAGTCACTGTCTCGCATAAGCTATGTTAAATTCTTATATTTAACGGTTAAAAGTCTTACATCGGATAATTTATGGACTGAACATGTGTTTATAAGTAAGGACAATCCTCGCCCTACTAGTTGGTTTTGTAGGATTGAATTAGGCTCAACCATGCATTCTCAAGATGTTATCCTAGTCTCGTTTAAGATCCATTGGACCACCCACCATTTAGTTCCACGCTCCAAACGCAAATTCTGGGTGTGAAAGGGGGTGTTAAGAGTCCTACATCGGACAATCTATGACATGAACATGTGTTTATAAGTGGGAAAAATCATCACCATACTAGCTGGTTTTGTAGGATTGAGTTAGGTCTAACCACGCATTCTCAAGATGATATCAAAGTCTTGTTTAAGATCCATTGGGCCACCCACCATTTAGTTCTTGGGCATGAGAGGGGGTGTTAAGAGTCCCACATCGGATAATCTATCACACCCACCATTTAGTTCTACGCTCCAAACGTAAATCTCTAGCCTAAATATGTGTTTATAAATGGGGAAATCCTCACCCTACTAGAAATGTTAAAGTCAAAAAACTCACTAACTTCTCTCTAAAAACCATACCTAAAGTCAAAAGTAAAAAAAAAACATTAATTTCACTATAAAAACCACAACAAATGTTTTAAGTGAAAAAATACACTAATTTCACTAAATGACCATTTCGAATATTCAAAGTTTAAAAACTCCCCAATTTCACTCTACAAGTTATAACAAAATTTCAAAATTAGCCTAAATATGTGTTTATAAATGGGGAAATCCTCACCCTACTAACCAGTTTTGTAGAGTTGAGTTAGTCTCAACCACACATTTTCAATCAAGATTAACCATACACCTTTCCATGTTCATAATGGTCATATTCCTCCTCTAAGCCAAACTATTATGTTCTGGTGGCAATGGTGCAGTATTCTCCTGTTGAATTCACATCTCATCACATAAGCTATCAAGTTTCTTGAATGTTTATTCTCCACCTCCATTGATTATGAGTACCTTGAGTTATTTTTATGTCTATTTCTCATTTGTCACATTGAACCTTTTTTAGAACATGGAACACTTCATCTTTTGTCTAATCACCCAAATGAAAAACAATGAGAGTTTGTTGGATTGATTTGGACTTGGAATGTCATATTATGAGATAAATGAATTAACAAAAAAATAACATATGAATTCACAAGAATAGTTTGATTTTCTCATTTCATATTTCCACTTATGAGGAAACATCAAAATTGACAAAGAAATTCCTCATGTACAAAAATTGTCTCAACTAATCAACCTACACCGTCTATGCTAACATTTATATGAATTAATTATAGGTTGTTCAAGCGAGAAGTTGTGTATAAGAAGACATCTTCCTTGCATGGAATCGTAAGACCACCCATTGGATGACAGTAACCAAATTCTTCTTCAGTTTGGCTAAGCAATTCTTGAAATAAAGGCTCGTTCAAGAATGATACTGGAATCAAGAACCTCTTCGCTTTCTCTCCAACATAAACTGCAAGATAGCCTTTTGGGACTTCCACTTGTTTGCTAGATGTTGATCGTCCCATACCAGGTAAGCGAAAACCCATTTTTGTTTTGGTTTATTGACAATAGAATGATCTCAAAGAAATAGTAGAAGAAAGAAGTGAACTTGAATTCTGATGCTTCAAGGTGTGAATGGTTTGTGTTGCTTGTAAACCAAATGATGGATATATATAGACTTTGAAAACAAACTGTATGGTGAATGAGTTATTGAATGAGGTTTAGTGGGAGCGATGGCTCATTAATGATCACATGGCTTGTCTCTTGAGGACTACACGAAATGTGAGATTACATGTCCCACCTTTTGGAAATTTATAGCGTCAAAGAGACTTGTTATGGATTGTTTCATATGTTTTAGATATGCTCTAAACACATCAAATATCTTGTTCACGTCTCTCTAAGACAATCAATAAATTATGAATGGACTCTCTCAATTGTTAAGCAATTATTAAGAAAGACCTCCAGACAGTAACATGTTATCTGTTGTGAACCATAATTTGATTATCTCCAACAGTAGCAATTCATAAGTAGTGTTGTCATAATTCTACAGGTCACGTATCAACATTAAGCTGTGTTGTCAATGTGAAGAGAACATCATGTGCCATGTCTAATACATTGTACAAGCTAAACCTTTCATTCAGAAGGTTGGGTTTGCATTCTTGTCGAACTTATTGATCATTGACAGAGGCATCTCATCTCATGCCTCCCATCATTTTTTCTATGATTTCTCTAGCAAAGGGTTTTGAAGAAACTCTTTGAAACTATAAATATACTGTTCTCCTTCACAACAATCAATCATACAAATACATTTTTGTTACATATGATAAGTTCATCATGTTCGATAAAACATTTGAAATGGGTTTCCGATTACTTGCAGCTATTAGACGTGCTTCATTTAGCAGCACCCAAGCATCATCAAAGTGTCCAATGTGCCAAAGGGCTATCTTGCAGTGTATGTTGGAGAGCAAATAAAGCGGTTTGTGATCTCAATGTCATATTTGAACTAACTTTCATCCAATGGGCGGCCGAAGATGTTTTCTTGATTATTACTTGTCGCTTCAACGGACTGGAAATCTAGGTAATCTCACATTCATTTTACATTCAATTTGGAAGAGAATGGCTTCCACATTCTATATATGCTAGCTATTAGTTTTACAAAATTCAATATTGCACTGAAGCATCGGAATTCAAGGGAACCATGTTTAATATTGCACTGAAGCATCAGAATTCAAGAGAATCCCCTTAGGTGTTTTAATATTGCACTGAAGCATCAGAATTCAAGAGAATCCCCTTAGATGTTTTATATCTTGACGATGTGGCCTTGGTCTTAGATCATTAGGGATCTCAAGACTTATGAGACCATTGCTTATTCTATTGATTCATTCATCTCGTGTGGTCAGGTAACAGACAGTATTTGGAAGATTAGCAAAAGTGTCTTGTGAAATTCTTGTGTGATTATTGGATTGAGGATTCCTTGGCTGCCAAGTTACATATCCATTTAACTACTAAGGTTAATGATTTTATTCAAAATGATAAATCGAGTTAACTAAGGTTATGGATAATCTTATTTCTCCTAATCAAACAATTTTATTTAAAGGGATGCTCTTGGTTAATGGGGGTGGTGGTTATGAACGAGTTGGTGAAATTCACTAAACAATCTAAGAAAGGTTGCTTGTTATTAACGTCAATTTTGAGAAGGCTTATAATTATGTAAGAGGGAGGTTTTTGGATTACATACTTATTAGGTTTAGGTTTAATAATAAGTGGTGCGCCTGGATGCGTGCTTGTGTTTTTGGGAACCTGGTTGTGTTACTGAGATTTATATCTAGAGAGATCCAAACCAAAGGAATCCTTTAACCCCATTTCTTTTTTTCCTTGTGGTGGAAGGGTTTAATGGACTGCTTAGAAGGGTCATTCAGTTTGAACTTTTTATTTAGGGTAGCTGCCTTAGAGTTAGTGATCTCTCATCTCCAATATGCGAACGACACTCTCATTTTGACAAAAAATTTTATGTGGATTCTTGGGTTTATTTTTTCAGCACAAAAATCAGATTAATGAAGAAATGAGGATGAAATGAATGAACTTTACATACAATTCCAACTTGTTTTGCTTCCATTTAAGTGATGAAATACAAAAATGATGTTTTGGTGTTGAAAATTATATTGAGAATGAAAGAAACTTTTTTAGGGGTTTTAAAAATGGAGTGTTGTTTGAGTATGGAGAATAAGATCATGCAAGGTGGTGTTTCATTCAGTTTCTCATTGGACATTTTTGGATATAGATCTTCGAAAATATCACTGAGTCGTTACTTTAATTAGCTTAGTGAATAAAAAACACAATAAATGACTAAAATTGGTGTTTTAGAGTTGCATCTTTGGATACACAAATAATATACAAAGATGCATCTCCGAACCATATTTTTTATATATGAAGTGGAATTTCAAAAAAGCAAAAAATTTAGTATGATTCTATAAAAGACATTTTTGAATTTCCAAGGGACACACAAAATTAGAAAAAACATCCCCTTTATTTTTGTGATAATTAAGAGCGTAAGAGAACAACTTATCTTTAAAGTGTGTAAAAAACATTTGTTAAAAAATCAACCCATTTTCTAGACGCACACTCTAGCAAAATTTTAATGAAATGTACACCTTTGCCATTTTGAATTTCTTCCTCTCTATGTTAATTATCTCGCATCTAATAACAATAACAATTACATTATTTCTAATTACACACTCAAAATAATACATTAAAATAAATTAGGCTTTGTTATTACATATAAATTTTAATACAGATTAACAATATTATTATTTGATCAATTGTGATAACTTTTCCATAATGATGTTCATATGGTAATGATAGTTGGTTGGAGTAGAGGGGTATGGAATAAAATTCTTCTATTGAATAATGAAGAAAACAAAACTTGTTTTTCTATCCTCTTTTTCAAGTCACCAACAATTGAACGTAATCATTACTCTCTGAAACATAATCATAATAATGTGGGACATACATTTAATTACTCTCTCAAAGACCTTACACACTATCATGTGATCTCTTGTGAACCATCTAAGAACTAAATACTGTTTTAATTTATGACGGATATTTCTCATAATTCTGCATTGTGCGATCAATGTGAAGAGAACATCATGATGCATGTCTGAAAAAAAATGAGTAGGAATTGTACAAGTATTGAGTTTAACATGAGCCTTTCATTCATGGCCCTATCATTTTTATACTCATTTTTGGAAACTATAAATATAGTCTCTTCCTTCACAACAATCAACTTAGAATCATTTTTCTTACATCTGACAAATTCAGTTTTCTTATTCAAAACATTTGAAATGGATTTCCGTTTACCTGCAGCTATTAGACGGGCTTCCCTTAGCAGTAGCCAAATATCCTCAAAAGCATTGAATGTGCCAAAGGGCTATCTTGCGGTGTACGTTGGAGAGCAAATGAATCGGTTTGTTATCCCCATGTCATACTTGAACCAAACTTTATTTCAAAATTTGTTGAGTCAAGCAGAGGAAGAGTTCGGATATGATCATCCAATGGGTGGCCTCACAATTCCTTGCACAGAAGATGTTTTCTTGCATATTACTTCTCGCTTATAGACCCTACAATGAAGAATACCGACATAGGTTAGCAGACATTTAGTATAATAGTCATCATTTATACTTGTAAAGATTTTTTTCCCTTTCCTACCTTTGGAATGGGTTAGAACTGTCCATCTGAATGACAAATTCAGGAAGAGATTATGTGTTATTAGTTTTCTAATGATAATGACACAATATATTCAACAACTCAATGTTCTTCTATATGCTTCTATTTATAAATTATAAATTACCAAACCGGTCATTCCTTTACAAATATCTCCGACCTAGTAAAACATTCAGCCAAACTCTAATAGTTAACAGGCTATCTTGAATCTAAGCTTACAAATTTCTTACACGACCTTAAGCTTCTATCAACTGCTTCTTCATCTAGGCTGAGCAATTAAACTGTGATAAATTTAATTAAAAAAAAAAAAAAGCTCCTTCAACTATTCCAACTCCCCTGAGACTCGTTCGTCAACTTATACGAACCCAATTGATTTTTTTTACTTTTAACAAGCAACGCGGTCCATTTTTGCACTTAAGCGTGATAATTCAAGTTATCACTTTTTTCTTCTACTATTTTGAAAAGAGACTAACTAGACAAAAAATCGCAGATCACAAGTTTCAGGGGCTGAATTGCATGAATAAACGGAAATTGTATTAATATTATAGACGCACGCAACTTATTAGATTCTACTATTTTGAAAAGAGACTAACTAGACAAAAAATCGCAGATCACAAGTTTCAGGGGCTGAATCGCAGATCAATGTTAATACCTTTTGTACGGAAAATAATCAAAAGAAATTTGGTAGCAAATGTAGATCTAATCAACTAGACTTCAATTATACAGATGAGTGGTTGACACCTTACCTCAAACTAGTTTAGTCAGTACAGCCCATTTGTATCTCCTTATCAAGAAACAGCAGACACCAATCTTGAATCTCTGACAAAAACAAAACTTTCTCTAACTTCTTTTGCAAGTCCTTTACAAATGACCACAGGCACTGCTGTCTATGTCTGCTAAATTAATTTCTAGAGCAAACTTAGAGAGTTTGAAAATTAGAATATCCATTCAGAAAATGCCAGGGTATGTAACCATCAACATTAATTGTTGAAGTAAATTTCGAACATTTTAAGCTTATCTGAAATATAGTAGTAATGTCATTGCAATGGTTTAAAAATTAGTAGGTTTTCTTACCTGTGCACATCACTTTCATTTTCAAAGTTGAAACTGCTTTGTAATGTGGGACATAACTTTAACTCTCTGCCAAGTCTTAAGAAAGACCTCTAGACAGTTTCATGTGATTTCTTGTGAACAAAACAATATGCACAACTCATATTTAGTGTATGACTGATATTTTTCTCATAATTCTGCAGGTCATATATCAACATTAAGCTGTATTGTCAATATGAAGAGAACATGTGCCATGTCTGATGCATGTCTGAAATGA